AAGAAGACGAGTCCAGACCGTCCGTTCTGGAACTGGACCGTCCGTTATGACCTAGAATGTCCGTTCCACCTTTCGCGGAACGTCCGTTCCAGCTTCGGCCAGACCGAAGGGACCAAGCCACCAGACCGTCCGTTCCAGACGGGTAGACCGTCCGTTCTGGACCCCTTTCTCCCCGTTTTGGTTCGTTCTTTCGGATCGAACGGAATCCGATGCAACCGACCTCTATACTGACCTCTATACGTGACTTACCTAAACCTGTTTCCCACCCGAACCACATGAAACTTGAATGAAACCGACTTACGGTAAATAAAACCTTCGGAACGAGCTGAATTGGTAATCCGAAATGGTCGGAACCCAATTTGATCGGATCGGAGGATAAAAGAATAAAATGAATGTAAAGGAACGAGATCACCAAAATGTCAAGTAAAGACGTGTGTATATCCGATTGAAGTATAATAATATATGAATGCATGTGATTGGGGAATCGGGTAGTTGGCATGGCGTGAGACTTTATTCCGGAGGGCCGAGATATGGTTGAGCGTGTGATTGTAGCGGGTTTGAGGTGATATCCCGATGGTTGCATTGTTGGGATCTCCTCTTTATGATCTCTGACCTGGGTCGGATTTCATATTGAGGAGGCATGATTGTGATTGATTGTCCACGGGCAGAGCTTCCCGGGTCGGGTTTCATATTGAGGAGGCATGATTGTGATTGATTGTCCACGGGCAGAGCTTGGAGCCGATGATACACGTGATAGTCTTGAGTGATTCGGCTATCACGGGGTTGAGGAAATCCTACGGTTACACTGTAGTCACGCCAACGTTCCACTAGCTATGGAACGGGATCGGGATTGAGTGATTCTCCCGGCAGAGACTGGCAATACATTTACCCGTGACTCGGGATTGAGCGATTCTCCCGACGAGGTTATGCGAAGAAACTCAGAAAGACCTGAGCTCGGGTCCAATGAGTTTCTCCGTGGCGGACGGCCGGCGAGAGGTTGTCAGTGTGTACTGACTTCGCTCGACATAGTCGGTGGTGGCCTGGAGGAGGCACCTGGCGCTCTGGTATCGAGAGGTGACATCGGTATCAGAAGGGATGGTTGATGTATTATGTTTTATGGAGTAGGGATTTGGATGACGTATTTTATTGTTCCGGCGATTGCCGAGGAGAGCGGGGGATGTGCATTGCACATGGAGCGTCCTTACCCACGTGTGTGATGCACACGTGGAGACGATTTAACGGTACGGTTATTACTGAGAGACCCGATGGGTCGAGTTATGACTTGTGTACATACGTCCTGGACTGGTAAGACCAGATCCGGTGTGGTGTCCTATGTGTGTGATGCACATAGATATGATTTGACGGTTATGTCCGATGATACATCATGCGGACTGAGTATGTGTGATAAGTGAATTACTTGTGCGATTGAGTGAACTGTGTTTCATGGCATGAAGTGTGTATATATGTATACACTTATATCTAGTGTGTGTATAATATTGCTTGTGTTTGGCCATTTGCAATTTGAGTATGATCTTCGGGTCTAACCCGAAGTACTCACTAAACACGTAGCTTATGGACGTTGTTATGCAACGTTTCAGGTACGGAGCAGTATTGGCAGCAGCAGGACGAGGGTGCTGGTGACGCGTGAGGAGATATCTGGATCATGTACTTTTCTTTCTTTGGACTTATGTTGGTTTGTACGGGCGGTGACTTGACCCTGTATTATATTATAGTTACCGTCCTTATGTTGGTGTGTATACTACTGTACGTGGGTTGTAAACATATACTTGTTTTTTCGCTGCGTGTGTAATAAAATAAAATGTTTTTAAATTCCCGCTATTTTATTATATGTTTGAGCGTCCATGTGACACAACTCGTGAGCGGGAGACGAGTTACGGGTTTCACAGCGAAGAGGCTTTATTTCTTAATTATGTGAGAATTCTCTGAAAGGAGAAAAGATTTCAGTCTATTATTTCTTCACATCAACCCTAATTATATACAGGAGATTGTTCTAGATCTAAGGAGTTACAAGAGGAAGGAAATCAGTTTGTTACAGATATTTAGCAATTATAGATATCGAATACAATTTTATATTAAGTGTTGATACTTATTGATATTGTCTTCCTTTATGCCCCCGCAAGATTGGTGTCGGTAGAGACGCCGATCTTGAGTCTGAGTTCTTCAAAGCGGCGGCGAGGTAATGGCTTAGTGAGATCGTCGGCGAGTTGATCGGCGGAGGAGACATGAGTTACGCGAAGTTGCTTGGCTTCCACTAGACTTCGGATGTAGTGGTAGTCTATCGCGATGTGTTTCATTCTCGAATAGAAAACGGGATTGGCAGCAAGGTATGTTGCGCCAACGTTGTCGCAATATATGACCGGAGTCGCATACTACCATCCTTCTTCTTCACAAATAACACCGGTGCTCCCCACGGTGATACGCTCGGTCGGATAAACCCTGTCTCCATTAGTTCGTTCAACTGTTTCTTCAGTTCTGCCATCTCGGTCGGAGCCATCCGATATGGAGTCTTAGATATTGGCTCCGTTCCTGGCACAACCTCAATGGAGAAGTCTACCTCCCGTCCTGGTGGTAGTCCAGGTAGTTCATCGGGAAACACATCGGGAAATTCCCGAACCACAACAGTATCTTCCAGTTTTGCTTCTGCTTCTTCGGTTGCTGTGATTACAACCAGGAAGGCTTCATTCCCTTTCTCAATCATCCTGTTAGCCTTCAGAGCTGATATAATGGGGTACACCTTCCGTGATCTGTTCCCAACGAACTCGAATCCTCCGTTCTCCTCAGTGAACCAAATAGTTCGCTGACGACAGTCAATCTGGGCTTGATGTTTCGATAACCAATCCATTCCCAGTATTAGGTCGTAACCTCGGATAGGTACGACGATGAGATCTGCAGTCAACATCCTCCCACAGATAGTCAAGGGCATGCAATGCAAAATCCCCTGTACTGGAAGAGTCTGTCCTGCAGGTGTACACACCATAAAAGGTGTAGTCGTATCGATCTCCATGATCGATAACTCTCCTGCCTTTTTCTCACTCAAGAAGCTATGCGTAGCTCCTGTGTCAAACAAAGTGAAGGATGCAACATCGTGTATGCCCGGATAACCAGTTCGGTTCATTCCGTGGTTTCTAACCTTACCTGTTATTCATTTTGGGTCCAGACTACGTGGGGTCCGGTCTGGCCCGTAATTCCGGTATAATTTATATTTTTCACTTTTTCATAATTTTAACCAGGGTCATATTAGACCCGTCTTATCATGATTTTCAATTTTCCTCATGGTGAAATTTTACAGTTCCGTTACTTTTTTTTTTTTCAGACCGATCGGTCTAGTCCTAGACCGATCGGTTCAGAACGGACGTTCCGTCTCGTCAGACCGGACGGTCTGGCAAGTGCGGAACGGACGTTCCGTCTCGTCCAGAACGGACGTTCTGGCAAGTCAGAACGGACGTTCCGGACTTGCAGAACGGACGTTCTGGAGTCGTCTTCAACCTCCAGACTTCGCGTTTTCTTCTGCGGACCTAGAACGGACGGTCTGACCTCAGACCGGACGTTCTGGTCCTCGGATTTTCACCAAAATACA